AAGGTTACGGGAAATCCAATCTATTTGAGGATTATATTTTTCTAGCCATGATAATCCTAAAATAACCGGATTAGAGGGAGATTTTATTACATTAAATACTACTACGCTGTTATGATCTTTAATTGCTATATCTAAAGGAATAGTTTCATAGATAACATTTCCAAAAGACAACGAACGACCATCTATGACTTCTACATGTACGGATTTAATTTTCTTCACTAAAGGTATTTTTTTATTTTTGGTAAAATCTTCGTCTATGAAATATGTTGAGGCTCCTGAATCTAGTAAGGCAAAGACTTTGTGATTATTAGGTCCTAAATATACTTCTATTATAAAACAAGGTGAGGGATCTGAGGAGAGGATAGGACCTTTACTAGGTGTTGCACATGATTCCAGCCGCACAGTCCCTATTGTAGTTGGAGAAACTTGTTTTCTGACACACTATCTTCTTTGGTAATTGTATTCTTCATTTTGTAATTATATTGCTTCTTTGGACAATATTAAGCAGTGTGCTTAGCTTCTCCACAATATAAATATAATCCCTCTTGGTGACGTCGAGTCTTTTCTTGCTTCGTGAGAGGTTTAAAACATATCATATCAATTTACATTGGTTCCAACTTTGACGAATACGTTTCAGAAAACTGAGGAGCTGCTACCATTACGTGATTTGTTTCTCTTCAGCTAAATCTTTGTTCTTGATGCCTTTTAAATAAATGATTATCACATGCAATGGCTTGAGTAATAAATTGTTCCAAAGATTCTACTTTCGGCATTGTTAATAACAAATCTTTGATGCTATCTTTCAATCCATATCGAAATTAGTTGATAAGTGCTTTGTCGTTCCAGTCCACATCACAAGCAAGATTTTGGAATTTGCTAGTATATGTAGTGGCTGATCATGATCCTTGCCGTAAGGATAGAAGCTTAGTCTCTGTTATTCATTCTTGATCACTTTCTCCAAATGTAGCCGTAAACACTTCTGGAAATGAATTCAAATTGTAAAGGAGTCGTGAATCTTTTTCCATAAAAGGTGCAAACCAAGAGAGAGCACATCCTGATAGTAGTGCGCCTATAAATCTGACTTGGATAAATCTATCAAGATATTGGAAAGGGTGCAACATTAGATAGAGCTTGACTTGTTATAAAAATCCTCAAAATTTTGACCTTGTTCCATCAAACTTCTCAAGCATATTAATCATTGTCTCTGTCATACTTGTAGAAGCAAAATTCCCTGGATTTGGTTGTGATGTTGATCTACTTGCTTCTTTCAACTGCACAACTTCTTGTCGCAAACTCTAAACTTCTTCTATTGGCGTAGGTATAGTACTTCTATGATTTACATTGAAAATACGTGACATTTTTACTCTTAGAGTATTGACGAGCTCATGAAGATCTGCTACAGTTGTAAATCCATTCTCACTTCCATTGAGAGTAGCATCCACAATCTTTCCTTCCATAGACAACTCAAATGAATTCAAAAGTTAAATTAGAGGAAGATAATCCGCAACCTCTAAAAACAAATCCCATAAAGATGGATAATCCACTCTCTTTAAAGAATAGATCAATATTTAAAAATAAGATTTTTTGTTTAAAGGTGAATAGACTGCAATCTTCAAAATATAGTAATAGAAGTGGAGTAATCCACTCACTTCTACAACAAGATAGAAATAATATGTTAGCACTCTTATCAAACTATCAAGGACATAAATCTCAAAGAAAGAGAATCCTCAATACACTCTTCTATCACTGAAAAAAACTAGAAAGTCACTCAAAAGGTGATGTAATATTAACTAGAATGGTTATTGCCAAAAACAAGAAGACTAGAAAGACTTGAAACAAGATTAAGACTAGAAAGGCGTTGACAAGAGTGAAGAAGGCTTCATTCTTGCCTCCATATATACTATCTAACTAAGAGCCATGTGGCAATGTTCTATAGGACCTCCAACATGTGTTGACTTTGGTAGCCACATGTCTTATCTTACAAGGCAAGTTATCTATGTATGCGCCACGTAGTTGGCTTGTTCCACAAGCTACTACATGGAGGTAACTTGTTCCACAAGCTATCAATACATGGTTAGCTTTTTGGCCAAGTTTTTAATCTACAAACACATCTAAAGTCAAAACTGCGTCTATAAAGCTTCTAGGAAGCTTCTCTAGAAGACTTTATGAAATTATTCTATTTTACCTACTTCTACTTAATCATATAAGTAACTATTGAGGTAAATATATATGTCCGTGACATATAATTTAAATTCATTCTTAGAAGTATTTACAACTACATTTGAAAAAATGATCTTAAAAGAATAATAGAAATAAAATTCATATCTTTACAACAAAGATTATAATTAGCTATCATATACATTGTTGAATTTGAAAAGCTTATTTGTAGCATGAATTAAAAGAATAAAGCTCCTATCAATTAATTTTCATATGAATCAAAAGATAATGTTAAAAAGTTATTATTAATAATATCAAAAATAAATTCATTGGAATAATTTATTTCTCAAGTCACTTCATGTGATAATTAATTTTTTAAAAGATGCTAAGAATCAAGATTTGATTGGAGAGAAATAAGTCAAGTTATAATGTCAACTTTTAAGAAGTAAAAAATGATAAAGACTTTGAGATAGAAGAAGACTTAAACTTAAGGCATCACCAAAATAGATTAGAATATCTTGTCCATTGGCACAATTATCATATTAGTGAATAGACATGAAAGCTATCAAGGAATCTTATAAATATAATAGAAAAAGTTGATATTTTTTTTATTAATAATATCTATTAAAATCAAGATAAAGAATCAAGCAATTTTTTGTTATAAATCAAATAAGATTTAATGAAGATTGAATTATATCTTTTATAATCATTTTTTATTTCTATACATTTGTAGCATTAAAAAAATAGAGATTTAATAACTTATAAATTTAACTTAAAAGCTATTATTTGTTGACTTATTAAACAAGGTATTGAAATTGTCACAACCCTCAAGACAACACAATAGAGATAAAGATCCTTAAAAATAACATATTATTTTTTAAATAGATGGTAAAATACATCCCATTTGGTATCACACTCTTACAAGAGACTGTCAATGTTTGGTGATATTATTGAAAATAAGAACCATTCTTGGTGTTATTTCAAATGTTTTATTTGAAGAAAGTTTAGAAGGTCTTAGCAATGATCAAATAACATGGTCATCTTCTTATTATAGTATAAAATATTATCAATGATTAAAAGAACCTATTAATTACCTTCAAAAAAAATAAAGATTAAAGTATGCAGTAAATATAATTTATTGAATCCTAGACATTTTTAATATATGATCATTGTTCATTGTAGAACTTATCTCCAAAAGGAAGGAAAGAGGGAGGAAATAATATCACAAACATAATCAATATCATTAATTACCTAGATAAGAAGAATTAAATAAAAATAAATAAAAGTGGATAAAGTTGATAATATCTTTTGGTGAAGCTTTTATAAATTTGGAATTGACATCATACATTTTTATAGGTGATTGGTAGGTTAAAAATTTAGCAAACAAGTTTGCCACGTATTACATATATTGATAACTTGTGATATAAGTTGGTCATATGGCAAAAATATAATAAATAAATAGAATATATAATCAGATTTATTTTATTTTATAAAAAATTTATTTATTTTTAAAAATAAATAAATACATATTATTTTGTCTTATATATTTAATGTGTATTATTTTATATCTCTTTTCTTTAATACATTACTAGGTTGCTCACTAACTTATTATAAATCTTATTATTACTTAATAATTGTATGGATCCATCACTTTTCCTCAAAAATTTCTATGTATATATCCTCTTTAATTATGTTATTTAAAAATATTATTGCAACATTCATTTGTTTAAATTTCTATTTATTTTAGGTCTTGCCAATAACTACATGGTTTCTTTGATTTCTACTCTTTTAATTCTAAAGATTCACTTTGCATTGATGGTTTCTACCAAAACAAATTTTTTTATTTCCTATGTTTTCTCTTTTAATACCAAATTCTTTTCTTTGTCTATTGCTTCAAACAACCTTTTTTTTCAATTGCATTTAGATAATTGAATGATTTTTCTAAAATTTTGGACATTAAAATCCAATAATCACAAAGTATAGTTGACATGTGTCTATTGCAATAAACATATCTATTATTAATTGGACTTGATCACTTATAAGGTAATAAAAGAATTATTTAGCTATATTATAGAGATATTGTTTCTTAAAATAAAAAATATGATTCTAATCTTTATCATATTTGAATGAGTGTCCTAATGTTATATGCTATAGACATTGATTCTTATAGATATAAAAAATTATTCTCAACATTACTTTTGCAAAGTTTGATTTATGATAAATTATAGGACATACATAGTTCTGCACAGAAAAGTCGCAAATGATGTAAACTGATTGGTTCCACGCCATACCGACATTGACGAGCAATTTTGTAATGAAAAACTCAAGTGCATGAACAGAATCCATTATTATGAGCGTTTTTGTCAACATGTCAAATTTCAGGGAAATCTAATTCAGATAAAATCACATATGCAACCACAAGTCATGATTCTGTGAGTTGGTGAAGATGGAGATCGAGCAGGAAAAAGAGCAACCGAGTATAAGAATCCTTACCACGTCGTATTCGATTAAAGCTGGGAATCCGTGGCCGGCGAGTAAACTCAACAACTACATTGAAGATCTTGCAGCACAGAATGAAGTTGCCTCCAGAGTTTGTGGGGGGAGATGGGAGGGGAGGAATAATGAACACGAAGAAAAAAACAAGTGGCGTCCTGTTTGCTGGTTTTGACATCACTTAAACAAACGTTTTCAGGTGAGTTGTGCGTCGATCAACTTGCTGCTCAGTAACTTCTCCGCGATACAACTTGACTGATGCCAAGTTGTACTGTGTAAGGTCCATTGCGGGCTATTTCAGTTCAGACATTCACAGGCATTCGCATGTGGAATCAAGATGCCGTGGCAGATTGATAAGTCTACAACTTCCTCTTATAAGAGAAGCAATCCTTTTAAATTTGTGGTAACATCTCCAGTTGTAACCAGACCACCTGTAAAGTAAGCAGAACTTATATACAAGGTCTACATAGAGCGTGTAATATCCACTTTGAAGAATTTATGACGATCCACTTGTAATCCGTTTTAACTGCCCTTTTCACACTAACAAAAGTACTTGTTCACAATGTACATGTGAACTTTTAATTGCTTGACTACACCGACAGTGATTCATGTAGCTCTAAATAATGAGACGAAAACCCTTGGAGGACGATCAAAGAGAAAGTTCTTCGAAAGAAGTGGCGCCAATTAGAGAAATAGAATGTAGGAATGATTCCATGCAACTCTTTAATGCATCAGATTCCTAGCTCAAATTATGCTCATTGCGGTGCAAGGAATCTGATGCATTAAAACATGTTCAGCTGTGGGCCCCGACGGAATGAGAAGCGTAGGGATATACAGAAATGAGAACAGTAATTTAGGACTTTCCGCACCAGTTAGTCCAATTCATAACTGGGTATATCTAATGGGACCAGAGCTCTCCCCACTTCAAGCTTCTCCTGGACGTATGTTCTCCTGCGTAAATTAGGAAAGACACTGATTAGTATAGCTTTTAAGCCATCAAAACGAGCCCACACTAATCAACACAGGGTACATGTCAGTAGCTCTTTCTTGAGATGACCAAAGCTCAGGGGATTCAGCTTCTACAGCAGCCAGGAGAAACCACTCAGCTCTCGCTTGCCAATGCGGTACTCTGAAAATTTACTGCAATGCGTGATTTGCATGCACTGAGAACAAGGTTAACTTAAAAACCATCAAGTCAGAAGGAGCGTTCTAAACAATTTCTCTACATCCCGTGCTGTCGTCCACTCGTGCAGGTTGGCTTTTACAGAGCCAATGTTCGCCTTCAAGAATTTCAAGAGAGGAAACCTGCAGAAGATTAAGGAAGAATTAGCTATACATGCGAAAGTGCCCAAGGAAGCTCTTATTCTCCCGGGGAAAAACATGTAGGCTCAGAGTACTAGAGGTTTACCCGTGTCTGGCTAGAATATGGTCTCCATGTATCAGTTTCAAGGAAGGACAATAGTCTCCACCGCCGTCCCCAATGTAAATTACCCGTTTGTTCAGGTTTTCCGACGATCCCAGTCTCACGCTGTCTAAAATCAAACCCTACATAATCAAGCATAGGGGAAATAAGGAGCATAAAAAAGAACAAATGATTCCGGACTCATCTTGATTTCTAAACCAACAAGGCAGAAGGGAAAAAAAGAAAAAAGAAAAAAGAAAGACGGTACTGAATGCATTGTATTGCACGCCTCGGATGCTCAATAAAATACGTTATGGATCGGCAAATTTTGTTCAAGCAGGTTAGGCTCCGTAAAAACCCCGAAGACAAACCTTAGATTTCCCCGTGAAAGGCTTCTCAACGATCATTAAAATTCAACTTGTAATCTGCTAAATCAGAATACATGGACGGGCACCATACCTTACACATATTGGGTGGACAGAGTTTGCACCCGTGCGGTGGGTTGTTTTCCGGATGAGAAGGGAGAACACGCAGCGCTCCATTCTCAGCTACAAGCGCTGGGTTGGTATGAACCTTCGTGAAATACGATTGCAGGCAATGCTTCTCCAAGATCACTTTGATAAAGTGAGAATTAGCGTCACTAATGATTTGGAGTTCGCACCTATAAAATCACCATCTTATTTCAGTGTAAGCCCTAATGCACGTAAAATTCAACAACCTAGAGGAAGCAAGAAAAAACTTTAAACCATACATAACAAAACCATAAATAAATAAAAATGTTAACGCTGTGGAAGATGCAACAGTAATGGAGGAAGAATAAAAAACAAAACCTCCAAGTCGCTCACAAATCTGGTGGGCACGAGAATCACCCAAGTTCAGCTGCAAATTTGACACTCGTCACCATTTCTTGCTCCATTGGGGCCATTTGCAGGCACATATCAATATCCTTCAGTGTTCGTCCGTCGCTATACAGCTCCATCATCATCGTGTCCTACACGCGACACGGTCATGAAGCAATTGCCAAACGAACCAGAGGGGCATAGCAAAAGAACTTCAACTCCATTTCCACGTTGGTAGTAATTCCGCTGAGCCTCACACTCAAATGGAATATACACAGCCAAAACACCAAGCCTTAAAATAATCCTAAGATAACCCAACATAAACACACCACAAGTCCTAGATGCAAACCCCACACTGATACTTCTCCATCAAGGGAAAACGAGGATTGCGGAAACCCGATTGAAGGATTACCATGAGTTGAGTCCAAGGAAGAACCTCCATCAACGGCTTCATACGCTCCATTGCCCCCAGCTTGTCAACCACCCATGTATCGCTATTGCAATCGATCAAGCTCCAATCGAAGTCGAATATAATGAGAGTATCCATGGCAGGGTTCAACGCAGTGACCTAACCCGAGACACTCGTGAAATTACAGATGATCGTGACGGAGATCCTACACAAAACCATGGCCACGTCGAATTTCTTCCAGCAATCGTGCATCTCCTAGAATTGCTGCAGCACCTGCTAACTGTGTCGCCCTTCAACTCCAAATTTCAAGTTCCCACAGAAGATGAATGTCGTTGGACGAAATACCATGGCATTGCCGATGTCGTTGTCGAAAACCCTCCCAAGCAGGTTTCCAGAATCTTCCGGAGATTCGGTTAATCCACCTCTTTTAGACTGCTGCACCTCCTCATCACTGCTCCCCAAATCGCTGGAAGAGTTGACAACGATCGCAGTGTGTGCTTCCGGCATAGTATTCTCACTCCACTGAATATCAGAACCCAATATCTGCAATCTGCAATCGGGTTAAGTGGGTTAGTTCAAGTGGGATTAGGGTTAAGGGGCGAGGGAGGGGGGAGGCTTGGGTTTTAACTACAATGTGAAAGTAGCCATTTCCTAGGTGCATTTGTACGAGGAGAAAGGCAGCTCTTGCATCACTGTGCCCCTTGCGAGGATGTGAGAGGTTTCAGTGATGCCTGCGCACAAGTACTACTGCGATTACTGCGACAAGCAATTCTACGACACTCCTGCATCGCGCAAGCGCCACTTGCAGGGAATCGCGCACCAGCGGGCCAAGAAACAATGGTTTGATTCCTTCAGAGGTGAGTTCAGTGTCTCTCTTCGTTGCCAATCGTGAGAGTGGGATACCGAAACTGATCAACGCTGTGTTTATGAAACACTACACTCGTGGTCTCAGGTTCGACAGAACAAGAGCCAATTGTTCAAATGATTACAGAAGTTCATTTACGTCAGATATTGCTCTCGATGGTTTCGTTACGCTGAATCGAAGGATAGGGAAGTTTGGGTCCTGACAATGATTCTCCATGATGCATTTCTGTTGACGCAAAGTCTGCTATGTTCAGACCAGGAATCTGGATTACCCCAGGATGCGAAACGACCGCCGTGCACATTCTTCTTGCGCACGGTAAGCCTAGCATTTTCTTTTTATCCTGCGAATCGAAGACCACGGGTTCCTGTCTTTTTGGTTTTCGAAAACTTTCGAATATCTGGTGACGTGATTCAACTATATTGAATTTTTCTCTGTTGACAGGGAACATGTCAATACGGAAGTGAATGTAGATTCGAGCACCCGGTGCAACCACCAGCTCCATCAGCGCCTGGTCCTTTCGGTGAGTGCACAGAAGGTTTTCTTCATTAGAATTTGTGTATTTCTTTGTGAAGAGGGAGATTCCGGTTGGGATTGATGTTTTTCTTTGCAATGGAAAAACTGAGTGGTGCTCTCGTTGTGGCAGAGGCTTTGAACGTGGCACCTGAATCATCAGCACTGCCAAACTTACTCATGAAGGATCTGCCACTCTCTCTTCGCCCCCCACCAGAAGGGGGTTATCCTCCACTCCCCCCTGTAGAATGGGGATGAGCATCCTTGTCAAAGGGTATTAGTTGCATTATTCACCTCCTCATTATTGATGTCGTGTGATAGCAATACTTGCATAATGATGAAGTGTGAGAAGAAATTGGACACTTATTGACATCCAACCACGTACAGAAACAGTCATCGTTTGAAATCAACCCGGCATTTTAGCCTATTATTTTAGCATGTAGATATTGCTGTTATCTAATAATTGACGGATTCGACGACTACCTGTTGCAAAACAACTTTGGGAATTTTAATAGGGCACTGAAACAATCGTATGTTAGCACTTTTCACTTCTTCGGCAGAACAGGTATGGGCCAATGGCGGCAAGCAACCCTATGCATCAGGTTAGAGCCACGAGATTATCAGATCATTGAACATGGCTCTACGAATTCATCTCCATATTGATTTCATTCGGACGTGATAATAGAGAAGAAAACCATCTTGGAAGAAGACAGCATATCGTATACATGGTTCAACACTCATCTACCTCCTCTCTGTAACGAATTTTGCTAATCAAACACATGATGCCCCAAATTCTGTTCCAGAGACAACACCCTTGCGTGAATCTATACATCCATTCATCTAAGATGGATTCGTGAAGTAGTGATCAAAACTGGGAGACAACACATTATAAAACCTCGTAGAGTTATGAGCTTTGAATAGGTGGGCACTTGTAAAGTATAGAACATGATACATATACAGTGAGCATATTCATACTTCATCAACGCATGAGAGTTTAGTCATTCCAACAATACTTTAAAGAATGCAAACTCTAAATGTTACCAAAGCCCTGAAGTTATGGATGTGTTTGGCGACTGTCACAAGCATTTTGGTGTCCGTACGTAAAATTAACGCATACAGTACAAAAAGTGAGGTCAATTACAATTAACAGTACAGTACAGTGCATTTGCCCAGAAAGGGGGAAAAAAAAGGCCAGACCTACCAGCAGTTTTATTTCGCTTTGCTTTAGTTCATGTAAAGTAGCGGGTTCTGGTAGACACAATGATAATGCACATAAACACTGAATGTGTTATCAGAGGTACGACTGAGAAAGGATACAATGTAGTTCTCTCGTAATTAAAACCAATGGAATAAGCTTATTGGTTGGGGAAAAAGAAAAGGTAACGCAGTACGAACCAAGGTATGCTATGTTCCAGAACACAAAAAGCCCTCTTCAAACCAACGAATACACTAGCCCTTGACCCCTCGTATTCTTCACATGCTCTGAGCTGGTGAACCTCATGTAATAAACAATTTCAAGACTGGAAAGCTACAGGATTAAGATTCAGTGCCCTCACAGTACTCTATCAGCTGTCAAGAAAACTACGCGAGTCATTTGATGTGCAAGAAAACTTCGAATGTTCCTCTCTCCGGAGATGCCAGGCTCCAACTTGTTTCAGCGATGCTTAGCCTGCAATTCAAAGGAACCCACGGACGCTGACTACCATAAGGTATGATTCCGTGTAAGAAAGGAACGCAAACCCATACCCACGCACGCAAGCACACACGTAGATAGAGAGATAGATAGATAGATAGAGTGTGCTTTCCACCCAGACAAAGTAAAGCCAAAATCACAAAAAATAACTAGCTCCACTACCCGAATATATTTGCAACCTCAGGAGAAAAGGACAGCTCACCTCTTCATGTTCATTGTGTCCACCGTGCCCATGACCCTCCCAAGGATGACGCCATCCCTGAAAATATGAAATCAAGTCAGAATATCCTTCTGATAAAGTAATAACAAGCTCATTCATTCATAGTCCCTCCAAAGAATAAATCAGAGCTTCACCACAGGCAAAAACCACAATGACGATCGCGTGAAAGGATTAATTATACTCATACTTCATCTTTTACTTGTGTCAACAATGTCCTTCAAGTAAGAACTCGTACCATCAACACTGCACCGTCTTGTTTCGCTCTGTACAAAACCCAGAGCCTGAACCAGCAACGAACCCCACAAATACCTCAAATTAGTACTCAAAAACACCATATATAAACCACATTAAACTTCCACCATAATTTTGCCAACGCAAAAGAAATGATTCAATCCATCTGACAACAGATTTCAACCCTAAGAGCAAATCTCTCCAATACTTTACACAACTAGAGGAATTTCAACACGATACGCACAACCTTACTGTCGAGTCACCCAATTCGCAACAAGTCTTAAAGAAACACAGTCCAAATGAAATCCAGGAGGGAACGAAACCCTAATTCGGTGCGATTCACATTCTATCAAAATTAGCTCAACAGGGACAGAACCGAACAAATCTAGACAAGCTGCCTAGAAACGGAAATGAAAACTCGAAAAAACCGAACTGCATTAAACCCCACCGCGATACAAAAAGCTAGCAAATATGCAGAGTAGCAGAGCAGAGACCCGAGGATTTACCACATGACGGCGCACATGCCTTGGCCGACGCGCGAATGCCATCCTTTCGTGGCGTGGAGGGACAGTCCACCGTGAGTGATGTTGTGAGCGCCGTGCCCTCCTCCTCCTGCCATGGCTCCCGAATTGGCTCCAACCGCTCCCCTGATTTCCAACCCAATGCACCAGGAACACAATGCAAAAGTGCCGAGGCAACCTCGTCGGAGAACCGTCGAGCTGTGTTGCAAGCGAGAGGGAGAGAGACGCTGCCCTTCTAAAACTTTCTCGCCTGCCCGACCTGTACTGCCCGTCATGCCCAAAACAAAACAAATATATATGTATATCGTGCTAGATTTGGGATGCTATATAATGGTATATTCGGGTAAATTCGTTATACTCAGTTCATATTCCGCACATTATATAATACATTGTACAGTTACGGGCTTGAGATTCATTATTTAAGATTGGGTATGTTCGTAATTTAAATTTTATGATTAATCAAATGATTTTATTTTCATTTTTCTACGTTCCTTATGATTTGCTTCGATATATATTATATTTTTCCTTATTTATTTATTTATTTATTTATTTATTTTTATGGTGTATTATTATAATTTATTCATGTATTCTTGTTTAACCAAACGAACAAATTAATGATTAAATTGATAATTAATTTTAAATATTTTAGCACTATATGAAGTCTATAAATAGAATTGAGTGAATTGTTGGTGCTGATTTGGAATGAAAACCTCATACACAATAATGTACTGAATATCTGTGACATTCAATACAATTCATGTGTATGTATGTATGTATGTATGTATGTATGTGTGGGTGTATGTATGTATCTGTGTGCCTTTTTTTATCTTGTGTATTATTAAAATTTAGGAATCTTATCTTTACTTGTCAATGTGGACAATCTCATTCTTTCACAGACGTTAAAACAATTGTTCTTTGTTAAATATTTCTGTAGGGAAATGGGTACAATTTAAAATGCAGGGTATGAGATATGCTTATTGATTGGACCAATATATTTTCAATTTGTATACAATTGAAAATAACAATAACAACATTAAAACTACTTCACTTTACACTCAAAAAGTCAAACTCATCATAGCAATTAAATTAAGAAAGGACCAACATAAATCCTTGTTATGTAAATGTATAAATCATTTAAAGGAAACTGCAAAACAAGTGTTACTTAAATTGTCTTTTGTTTGTTCCACCACATTTTAAAGTAGTTTGTAAACATTTATATTAACTTAAATCACCCTGTGATGACTAAAATCAGATTTTGCACTATTTCTTTCTATCTTTATTTATATTTAAAACCTGTAAATGATAATTTGTGCATCTTAACTGACTTGCATTTTCCACTGCCTACACTATATTCTCCATGAAAGAACAAAACGATTGTCAGTATGATCTTAATGGACTTTCACATGGACATAGAAAACTACCTTAAGAACAAATAATTATTAGAAAAATTCATAGCTTAAATGAGTACATTGGTAAGTATCAGGCTTTGAATTTAGAAAGTTTTAAAACAGTTATGTTCATACAAGACTTTGGATATGAAATGTGACTCTATTACAACTCCTTTTTTTCTTTATTATTCACAGAATATAAATTAATAAGTAAAATTAAGAAAATAATCAATTTCAGTAGGAAATAAATTCTAAGCATGCGCATCACCAAATTACAAAATGAAAAGATATATGGCAACACTGAAGAGTGTGTGTGAATATATATATATATATATATATATATTATAATTATCTTCTGTGATATTTTTAAATACATCTATAGTTTTCTACTATGCAACTTATATGTTTGATGATATATATATATATATATATATATATATATAATGATGGATTTGCACATTTGGTGGTATCTCCTACTTCTTCTTTAAAATAATTAATCAATCACACGTATTTATTAATATTTATTTTCTAAGAGTACCATATGTTTATGTAAAATGAATTTTGGTTTAGCTAGATTTCATCTGTTTATTATGGCTATCATTTTTCAATCTCTCAAAAACAAAAACATTATGTTTTCTACTTGGAGAATGCCCTAAATGACCAACACAAGAGGAGTTTATTCCCTTTTTTGTAGAAGTTTTATTTTTTAATGATATGAGGTAGTCTTCTAAGACAACCATTGTGTGGGACATTTCCTGCAAGTGAATTGCATAAGTACATTGTTAAATTTAACATAAAGTAAATTCACTGTAGTTGTTGGATTGGTCTACATCAATTATCCACTTTGTATTTTCTCCACTAATGGATCCATCAGCATCTTTTTGACATCTTTTTCAGGTTTTCTGTGCCCCCCGGGCGATGGAGAAAGCCTCAGATGCTCTTCCTGCATTTTCTCTCAATCGATTCCGGTAACGTACAAACCGAGTCAGTCTAATTTGCATGGAACCAAAGCCTTGCTTTCTGTAAGACATTCTAGCTTTAAAACTTTAGAGACAACCATTGTGTTGTGTGCAAAATATATGAAAAACAAAAAAACAAAAAACAATGGACGTTGTTATCTCGCTTACATGGAGAGTCAGTAGCGGTTTGACCTTCGAGGAGTTTGATAAGCTCAAAAAAATGAGAGTTGGTTGGCACAGAAAAATTGGCTCCGTGTTGGTGCCGAGAGATTGAAGAGATTGAAAAGAAATCATCCTCACATCTCAATACGAGTCAGTGATCGGAATAACGAACCCGTCCACAATCATGTGAGCGATTCCTCACAGTACCTCACAATCGTTTGTTAAAGTTGTCGTCTTTAATTGTGGGTTTCATGGTGACGCCCTCCCTTGGCCTTGAATCACCCCTGTCGCTCATTTTCATTCAAATCCTCGATCTGGATCCTTCCTTTTTTTCTCTCCAACTAGTAAAAGGCCCAGTCTCATTAATTGGTCTGAAATCATGGCGTCTGTCTCGCCATTGCTGTTTATTTGCTTTCACAGAATATGGTAGAACGTGTCACAGAATTGATTTAATAATTCGGCTGAATTGAATACACCTCCTGAATTTACACTTCGGTGAAGAAGGAAATGTCACGAACATCACAAGGGTGTAGTTCTCTGCGTTACAGAAATCATGCCTCAAAAGCAGAGATCCATGGGATTATCCTATTTTGTGCCTGCATTGCAGAGGAGCTGAAGAGGTGTCCCACTAAATGCCAATTGGGAGGAACATTTAAGGTTTAGCAAGTTGGAACTCTGCGCGGTGTTTACTTGCTCAACGCCTACAATAGCACAGGCTGAGTGGATAAGGACCATGACTCTGTTGTGCTCAGATTTCGTTTCAGCAGGGCAGGCCAGTTATATCTGGCTTGATGATCAAATCGAACAGCCATACTCCAAAGTAGAATAATTCAACCAAAAGTGAAAATGCTCCATAACTTCTATCCCTTTGCTGAGCTTTACAACCATTAATTGCATGAAATACATCATCCATGAAGATGAGAAGAAGTCCAACAGACGTGGAAAACATGGTCACCTCCCAAAATGTGACATTATTAGTGTTCTCTCCAAATAGCCGGCCCACATGCAACGAATACGAAATAGACGGCGACATATGTTCGTGACATTAAGTTCAGGCAGAAAATTGACTGACACACAACGAACCAGATAGATACACCTCTACGCTTCTCTTTCCTGGCTATAGCGTCCTTTGTCTTGAACCCCGGAGTAGGGTTACTGTGCCTGGTCTAATGCAAGGGCAAGGCAATGCAGAATCCGGCCCCGGTCGGTGCCTCCACCACGATTATGCAGCAACTCTGCTGCTCATGCCGAAAACCAGCCTTCAGCTATTCTGGAAAAGTACCCCACCCCAGGTAAACACTAAACCTAAATCTATCATGGGTACACCCGGCATGCTTCTGTTCTCGTCGCTAATATCTCTGTGCAATAGCTTCAAAATTTTAGTTTGAATTTGATGCATGCTTCAGCATTTCATGCTCCATTGATATCTTTAGCCATCAATGTTGTACTGAGAATTGTGCTGCTTCAACTTGCAATGTAAAAACAGCTAATTTACATATATTGTAGTATGCTAGATTTTGATGATTGCATGCATATATATATATATATATATATGTTATAACACAATGAATCCCAATAGAATGGAAATATTTTTCTTACTGTAGGAAGGGAATATGAAGGGAGTACAAATGTGAGCTGTGTTTTTTTTCCTCCCCCAGTGATTATTTTTATAATGAAAATAGGGATTGCATCATAGTTACTTGATTTATCGTTATAACTATTATAAGCACAAAGTTAATGATAAATAGTTTGTGATGAAATGCATTAAGATAGAAGAGTACAAATTTAGTGGTGTAGATGCTAGGATGCTAACTAAATCCAGGATAGATGCTAGATGACTCTTTTTATTACGAGGATTAACCTCCCCTTATTTCTGTAGGAAGCAGCATTTTTATGAGAATAGTTATTTGATGCTAAAAAGGTTTATGAAAGTTTATTCTCCAAGATTTGAATGTGCAATGCAAGGGCCTTAAAAAGAATGGATTCCACAATTGAGTCTTGTTGTAGTGTAAGATAGTTAGGTGACAGTTGTTATGTGATATATAGAATGAGTTATATGGTGGTGCAATAGAGGCATTATAAAATTGTATAAATTAAATTATAAGATTATGTAATGGTATCCCATATCCTTAAATTGTATCCCTAATACAGTAAATACAACAGGAACGGTGTCCTGAAAAATTTAGAAGTTATGCCATTTTCTTTAGTAAAATGAATAAATTCTTTCAAAATTAATCTGTGCCTCAACGATGGTGTTTATTAAAATGTTGTTATAATTAAATGGAATAAGTATATTTTTTATAATACACAGTGTAGAAGTGATAATTACATTAAATCACGAATTTTATTTTTGTGGTTTTTGTAAGCTAACATTTACAAACCTAAATTGTGTCATTGATGAACATTGACTACCAAAAAACTGACTGTTATGCACATATTATAATGTTATTAAAAAACATAGGTTGTTATTATATTATATCCTCAACCGGAACTGTAAAAATTCCAAGCAACTCAATCCGATTTCCCCCCCCCCTTTATTGAAGATTCACTGTTGTTTCTTCGAGGCCGCGGCGTGATTTGAAGGTGTGGCGATGGCGTGGCCCGACCGCCCGAGACGAGTTAACGACCTTCTTTAGGAATCAGCACTCACGCACACAAACACGCACACACGCACAACTCCTGCACAACACAAATTTGATGAGTGCGTGACACACTCTCCTTCGTCCTCCTCCGCAGTTCCAGGTGAATAATTGCGGTAAGAGAGTTGACGACGGGTCAATTCCTAATTTAGGAAGCTCGGGGACGTCACGCTTCAAGAATGTGTCAGAGAATTAACACGCCCATAACAATCCTAAAAGGTGATTTGCTTGCTTTCTAGTTCCATGACGGACCCAAAGGTCGTGACAACTGGACCCTCGGTGGCAAACCCACAACGGGCGCCCGTTGATCCTCGCCTTTGGTTTCAATAAGTGTTGCCAGTATCTCGCGAGGAGGGCGGAAACCCAATCAGTCTGTCAGAAAGGATAGGAAACAAAACACACGGCGTGGTCCGAGAGTTGCACGAGTTGGGCTGCAGAGAGAGTGAGCGTGTTTGACTTGTGGTGTACACTTTGCGTGTTATAGATCCTTCTGGAGCCGATAGAGTTGAGAGAGAGAGTTGTGAGTGTAGCTCGTCGTACTGCGTATCATCGTCTCAGGGTGGATTGTCAGGTGGATACCTCTCCAGGTGAGAGAGAGTCGAATGGTGCACTCACTTGGGTCCCACGTGACGTGCCGTGGTAGCGAAGCTATCAGTCAATTTCACAGGTTGTTGTTGTAGAGTCTGCTGTACGTCCATGTTGTAGCGAAAATGTTGGTGGTAGCAACACTTCAGGCATGTTTATCTGCCTGTGCTGTAAGGCTCGCGCGCATGTGAACCTCCTGGTGGGCTTCGGTGGCCCCATGACTGTGAACCAGTAATGTTGCCATGGGATGAATGAATGCTGTGTCAGTGTAGCTGGCTCAATGCCGATATTTCCCATGGATTGGAGGTGGAAGGTTGGAGGTGGGAGGTTGGAGGTGGGAGGTTGGAGGTGGTTGTGCCTGTTGTGGGTTGGTTCCGAAGATCATTTTAATTTTCGGTCGCAGCGAATTTCGTGTCTCGCAGTCTGTGTAGCCGTGAACCCCTTTGCCCCGCTATGGTTACCAGAATCTGTCGAGTGGAGTGAAAAGCTGAGTGAGTCTTCTGTGGCTTGGGTATTACCATGGTTCGGGTTGGGCTGCATTTGCGTTTGCTGTCAATACTCAGCATGATCAGCTTGTGTTATTTTGGTTGACAGGCTTTTAATGTGATCAATCGGATCATCTTCTTGGTGGACCGCTGTACAATACCTCGAACGCTGGTGAAAAGCACAAGTTTTAGAGTTGCAGAGATTGTAAGAGAACTAGGGGCGTAGTTGTAGCACATCAGTGGAAATACTCGGGAGACATACCCGTGCTCACGAAGTTATTCCATTGCACTTTTCCTTGGTCAACGGTTGGCCTACATCAAACAACGGAGAAGACACGGGGTTATTACTGGAGGTGTGAATTGTAGCCGGGAAGTTCAAATGAACGAATAGAGAGCTTTGCTTGGAAGTAGGAGGATAGATTAAGCTTGGATTCTTGAAATCCTGAAGTATGGCTCAGGTGTGTGCGAAATGGCTGAAACAGTCGCCGCCTGTGAATCAGATCTATCCCATTTACACGAACCCGGTACGCGTTTCATCTCCCGATACTCATCTTTCCTTGTGCATCACAGTTTCACCCACCCTTCATCAGAGCTGCAGCTTATCCGATTTCGCTCGGAAACGGAATTCTGCACTATGTGTCCTCGATGATGTGCATTCACCTACCGAAAGCACCAGTTACCATAGATTCCGCCCGCGCATTCCCTGGTCAAGAATACTGTCATTATTTGAACTTGCTTTGTTCCCGCCGCTGAACTGAATTCTTTGTGTTTTGAAAATAGTTGCAGCGGTTTTGAGAACACTGAATTCTGTTCCGAATTTGTTATTGATGATGGTGTCTTCTCGATGCTGCAGGCATCAGGGAAACAATTGGTCTTCAACCATAAGTTGCAGAAAATTTTCAGATGCACAAAGATCTTTTACCTGGCTGCAGTGCTGATTGGGTTTTCTTTCCTTGCCTGCGTTGTGATTTTCAATGAGAAAAGCTTCAGAAGAAGTTTTGTGGAGGTGATATCAGGACCTTTGGAAGTAAGTGTGAGCTGTTTCTCTGTTGTTAGGATGATGCACTGAAGATGTGATGTGTACGGCTAAACATTTTGCCAATCTTTTAGGTTTTCATTCCGTGTCACACTCATGTAATAGTTTGTGTTACTCTGATTTGTGGCTTTATTTTCTTGCACAGGTCGAAGCGTGTCGCTTAACCAAAACACACTGCAGCAGAGGTGGTGGCAAGGCTCTGCCGAAGGGAATAATTGTAGAGACAAGCGACTTGCATATGCGATCTCTTGGTTTTGAAGAAAAGGACAAGGTAACCCGTCTTACAGTACATGCCTTGGTTATTGTGCGGCAGTTCCGGGTGGCGACCCGTGTGGGTGCAATTGTATTTCTCTTTGGTGTGACCTTTTACCTGAATATTAATGACAAACTGTGGAGGTAGATACGAGCAAGCACAGTCTGACTATGTTCTTTGCTGTTCATGCACTTAAACTGAGGTTGTAATGTTTCGGTTTTTCCAGGTCCAGACACCAATGACAAAGAATCTTCTCGCTATGGCAGTGGGTATCAAGCAGAAGAAAGTTGCCGACGAAATTGTTCAGAAAGTAAGTTTAATCCTGTGCTGATGGGGAGTGATACTAAAATGGTTTTCACAGTTGCGGCTGGCGTATTTGTGTTGATTTGGTGATGTGCTTCAGATCCTGAGTTCTGGAAGTCTAATCCAGCTTGCTTGTATGTGTCCAGTTTCCACTGGCCAATTACACAATCATGCTCTTCCACTATGACGGTGTGGTCGACCAGTGGCATGATCTCCCATGGAGTAACTATTCCATCCACATTGTTGCCTTGCATCAAACCAAATGGTACATACTTCACTCATTCTCTTCACGTCAGAGCTTTCACACTGACAAGTTCATCTTGCGTCCCTAACTGTTTTCACTAACTTAAATTCCGTCGTTAAAAGTATACCTATCTTAATCTTGTGCTCTGGCAATGATTCAGGTGGTTTGCGAAACGGTTCATGCATCCAGACATTGTTGCGCAATACAACTACGTCTTCTTGTGGGATGAGGACTTGGGGGTTGAAAACTTCCATGCGGACAAGTGCGATTATCTTCCTGGCTCAGTAAATGTTTTCAAATCAATAGCTATTTTAACATAATTGCTCGTTCAGAATAAGATCCTAAGTTTTTTCAAAGAATTCTTTAGTAGCTTGGAGTTTTTTTCTTCAATTTGGAAAAATTAACGATATAATGATCTTTCAGGTACATAGAGATCATGGAGACCGAAGGACTTGAGATTTCTCAGCCTGCACTAGATGGTGCTTCTCTCGATATTCACCATGTTATTACTAGACGACAACCCTCGAAAAGAGTACACAAGTATGAACTTCCTTTCGTTTGTTAATCGTCGCAGAATTATGAATAAAATTACTCCATTACCCACGCCTGCGCGTAGAACCAGAGTTTAGGACCAACATTTTCTTGCTGACGCGGTTATTTATCTACCTGGAGCAGGAACATTTTGTTAAATCGTGGCTCAACGGTGTGCACCAACGAAAGCAATGGCCCTCCATGTGCAGGGTAAGCGTTTCCGTCATGAATGATGTGAAGGATACATATCACTATATATGGTGGGGGTCCATACCAATCCGGGTTTAGTTAACGAACATTATTAGGATCGTGCCCTCTCCCATTCCCGGTGATATCTTAACAAATTGGACAATATCGTAGACATGCATAACGATACAGGAGTTGGATGTAGGTACGTAGAGGTGATGGCGCCAGTTTTCTCCAAGGCTGCTTGGCGTTGTGTTTGGTACATGATTCAGGTGTGTACGACGTAACCACCCTACGTACTTGACTATAATTCAAAGTCCTAAGTTATCAATTTGCATTGAATGTGTGTACTTTAGCAGATCATTCGATTTTTTCACTGTTTCCATTTGTTAACTTGTTGATCGAAAGCATGATTTTCACGATGGTACATGTTAGTGGTTTCCCTCAACTGAGCTTGGTATTTTTGAAGAGAGCTTGTTGCGAGTGTTGGAGAAATTGTATTGCTTCCCAATGAAATGTTTCTCACTTGGTTGTGCCTGTGCAGAATGATTTGGTTCATGGGTGGGGTATCGACTTCAAAGTTGGTTATTGCTCACAGGTATGAATGCAAACTCTCGACTTGAATTCCTAATCCGTGAATGCGTTTTTAATGCTTTATTGTGATTCTTCATATCTGGGATATTAGGTTGTATGTGGCTCTGAGAGAACATTTTATGTTCAAATCTGACATAATTATGTACAACCATTGCTTGGCACCAGGGTCTCCGCAGTGAAAAAGTGGGCATTATTGATGCTGAGTACGTTCTGCACAAGGGAATCCCGTCTCTTGGTGGCCCTCTTTCAAATAATGTAAGTTGAATTGCGGCTGATGTGGAAGGAATTTTAATTCAATGAAGGTTTACATTGTCAGTTTTCATCCTCGTGCTTTGATTGATCATCACTTCGAAAATCGCATCCCATACGACGTTGGTGAAGCATCCGTGACTAAGTACGCTTCTTGATTGACCATTTAGTCTGTACGCTTAAAATCGTTTCTGAGTGCATTCAACGATTCCTTGATGTCTCAGACACTCGACAGTGAGAGCCAAGGGACAGGCGTCGAGAAACCACATTCTCTTCGTCGACAAGTGAGTGCTCCACCTCATTCATATGCCTATTATTCGCCCATTTTCATATACTGTGACTAATTTTATCCTAAAGAAAAAAAATCTGTTTAATCCAGCTATTTATTCTAAACCTGAATTTTCAATTCGTCAGGTCCGGAAACGATCTGGAGAAGAGATGACCACTTTCTTGAAACGGTGGAAGAGAGCTGTAAAGGAAGATTCCACGTGGTCTGATCCTTACAAAGCTGTCAACGATTCATCTGCAAATTATCACATTGTGAGGTGATAATATGCCCTTGAGGCAGGAACTCTCATTCCCGAAAGCTTCAGGGAGATCTGGGCAATGTGGTAGTAGGTTAAGATTTTGCCGCCACCTGCTTTCGCTGATTTGTTGAACTATTTTTCCCAATTCTTGGGTGTTAACTGTACATAATTACCGATACCCCCCTTATTTCGTGCATATGTCCAACTACCATGTTGAGTGTCTAAATTCTTTATCGCAATATAAAAGGATAGATTGGGTACGAAGCCATGCAGATGTGCTACTGCTTTCTGTATTTGATAAACTCTGTTGCGCCTGTCTTACATTTTGTTTACTGTCAGACTTTTTATAATGTTACAGGGTGCATCAAAGGTCATGGCTTTTTATAAATGTTATATTTGTGTGAAAAGTGTCAACAAATAACCAACTAAAAGATAATTCTATTCTTTACTCCATTTGCACACATGCTAGCATAAGTGTTGCAGCTATAAGGTAACTATCTCAACCTCAACGGAAGGAAGACTTTCCTAAAAATAAGCGAAAGTAGAAGCATAAACTCTAGAATACATGTGTACAGTATAATAGTCATGCTAAAGAGCCCGTGAAAACTGATCATATAGCATGTGATGTTGGCTATGGACATTGTGCAAGGTAAATGCTAAATATGAACGTGCCCTCTTTACAACGTGATGATCTGGTACACTTAAATTTGGATAAGGAGAATTAGCCTGGATCCGCAAAAGAAAAAGAAAAAGAAAAAGAAAGTTCTTTAACATAGATAACCCATTTCCAATCACTTAAGTATTTTAGCATATATCCAGTATGTCTAAAAATAGAAATATTCCCATGTAGTGAAATAGAAATCAGAAGGATTCCAAGTGTTTTCGAAAAGTGTGGCCTATAAACAAAATTTATACAAATCTTTTAGCTGAAATTTCTCTTCAACTCATTTTGGACATATAGGCCTATTTAACTCCAACAAGTGGTGGATTACAAAACCTAGAATTACAAACTGTGATGTGTGGCACCTATTAATACTGTCAAGAGAAGTGTGACACATAATTATACTATTATTTTACCCCAACAAATCAACAACTGGCACCTTTTGATAATTCATGTATACTCATTTCTAATACAATGAATTTTATTTATTGCTCACAGCTTAATATCATTTTAACTACCCATTGACTTATTTCCAATCCATAAAATGTCAGACGTAGTGGCTGGACCAACAAAATTAGGTGGAACTATATGTTGAAAATGGGGGGTGGTGGACAATGGGTTGGCTACATTAGGACGCAACAAAAATACCAGAAGTGAAGATTAAAAATAAGCAGTGGTGGTAAGCTGAGATAACAATCCCTTCCAAAAGTGTACACTTTGTAATTTTTAAGTAGTTTTGCTGCCTCAGCTGAAATCACAACATGTGATTGCTGTGGGAGTTGAATAAGTGTTAGCTTCTCTGAAATCCTCGCATCTGTCCCGACGATGTCACTACTTCCGCAAATATAAGCAAATTAACATCTTGCCATCTTCCACGTTGTTAATTGCACCATGAAGCTCCTTTTCTTGTCGCTGCTTGTCAGCACCTGCAAAAGATACATAATTTAAAAGAATGGTAGGAACTGGAAATGGCGGTTGGGCATGGTAAGTAATGCATATGTCGCATAATACAAACCGGGGTGTTGAAATCAGTGCTCACTGTACGAGAATCGTATCCCTGTGTTTGAATGCCACACGGGATCCATTTAAAACGTGACTTTATATTGGAAGAGGCTTAACAGAAGAGAAATTTCACTTCAAGTACCTATTCTGCATATTTAGGTGGGTTAAGTACTGATTGGACAAAAAAAGGACACACTCAGATATTATGGAGGTGGTTTCTCGCCGCTAAACCAAACGACCAGATATAGACATTTAAACGATCTCGAAGATGCCTTGGAGTCTAATCAAGGGTTAAATAATGATGTTCCTCTTTATTCTTTCCGTATATATAACTGAAAGTTCGGGACGTTAACAGTAGGGGAAAATTCTGCATAAGATTTGTGCCTATTTTTGCACAAGTGAAGCCCATTTCAAATTCCCTGAATGTTGCCGCTAGCGATGAGAACTTTCGCTGGGGCAAGGAAAAGAAGGGATTGTCTTCTGAGTATGTTACAAGCGTTTTAGAAAGCGCCGTTGAACGTTGGAGCAGCTTCACACTCGTCCCACTCAAATTCTGAATCTTCGTTGTTTGACTCTGGCAGCCCTGGGGTGAGACTCACAGGGACTTGAAAGAGGGGGTGGTATCTGTAGCACAAAGAATCGAATCAGCACAAAGCAGATGTGTCGTTCAGATCAGGCGAACTGACACAGTGGTGAACATCTGAACAGAGAACCCTAAATCTGGGTTCGGTTGTAAGCACAGAGCGAAGCAAATGTTTACTACCGCACGCACTTCGTATTCAAGCAAATTATGAGAGTAATGACACGAGATCTGTAAGGAAGCATTAGAAACTTGCACATACCATGTTGCGTATAAGAGGCCAATTGATGTCTTGAAAGAATGGATGGTTCTTGATGTCACTTGCACCACGACGAGACCCAAGTCTCTTCATTGTCTCTGTTCAAGAGCTCTCGGATCAACAGCTTTGCTTCCAAGCTCACCTGCAAACTCATTCTTGTCAACTGCGTGTAACTATATTGTTTCACATTACACATTGCCAGTGAAGATTTGATACAAATTTCGATAGCATTTTGGAACTAGCGATAAGCACCATGGGAAGCTCACATGAATATTTGACGGGAAGACAAGCTCCTTCTCCAGAATATTGTCGAAGGTGGTTTGTCGGTCTTGCTCTTTGAATGGCGTGCATCCAAACAGCATCTCGTATAGCAATATGCCTAAAGCCCACCAATCCACGGCGCTACCATGGCCCGAAATAATCTCCTGCAAGTTAAGTTGAACGTTATACTCACTTCAAATGACAGAAATCCAGGGATTGACTGGCTTGATCTGGTTTACAATCTCAACATGTAAAGAGCTGATGTCGTTGTCTAGTTTGCAAGCTTCCAGGGTAGAAATGGGGTGGAATTCTCACAGGGACAATGTAATCCTCAGTTCCCATAAAAGAGTTAGACTTCATCACTGGCTGTGCAAAGATCAAGGGCGGAGGCACCTCCTTCGACTTTTTGCACTTCTTTTTCAGGTCTACATGAGTTATCATCTGTATGACAATCCTCGAAGTAACTCTACCTCAGTTTGTAAAGAGCGCGAAGTGATCTGGTGAAAATTATAGACATGTAACACAAATGAGCAAGATAATAACTAGAACTAACTTGATTCATACATACAAGATTCGGAAATGGAACAAACCTCCACTTGCGGCGAGGATATCAAGGACAGGTCAAAATCAGTAAGTTGTACATGTCCACTAGCTGTGACTAAGATGTTTTCTGGCTTCAAGCCCCTGTAGACCACTCCTGGTATTGGAATATTCATGAGTGGATCAGAATCGAGAAAAAATCACCCGCTTTTTCAAAACAACACAAAACTTCCATGCTAAAAAATTAAGGCAAGAATTGTGAGGAGGATATCGAGAGTAGGTTGTACTTACCTATACAGTGAAGATATTCTAGCGCAAGCACTACCTCAGCAGTGTAGAACCTACCACAATGCAAGAGCACTTATGGTTAACTCTATTTGCAAGAGAAGCACCTGTCTCTCTACAATTACTAGTTGCAAATTATCTCCACGGTCTGCATGCCATATCCCTGCAAGCCATGCATCCCCACCTGGCTGAGTCTTCCCGAAAATGTTTGTCGGGCTGTGTTTCGAGCACCACGAACAGCTCCCCACCGGAACAGAAATCCGTAATCAAATACACATGTGTCATGGTCTGCACATTCAAATTGAACACCTAGATCAGAAAACTACCCAACCAATAATAACTTGCTCTTTTCAATTGCACCGAAGATGAAGAAAATCAAGCATTCTTGAGTCGAAGGTCGGTAAGGGAGGAGTAGGAAATTTCGAACCTGGAAAGATGCATACAGAGTGGGCAAGAAAGGATGATCCACGAGGTTCAAAATCTGCCTCTCAGTGCGAACTCGGTGCACCTTATTGCGATCCAACATGGCCATCTTGTCTATTGCCTTCATGGCAAAAACGTAACCAGTTCCACGTAATTCTACGAGGTGTACACTTCCAGTATCGCCGCATCCCAGAGGTTTAAGGGGTTTGAAGTGCTTCAACCCTAGCTTTTGTCCACTGTTCCGAACCTACTCAATACGATGAATCAACATGCAAAACCTCATGAAAACCATGTCCCGAACTGTTCACTTTCTGAGGAAGAGATCAGAAAAGCGACGAAGATCTCCAGAATAAGGTTCAATAAGGACCTTGAACAAAGCGTTGCATGCTGGAGTTCCACCCGTGTGCGGCTTGGGGTTCACTAAATTCGAATGGTTTGCCCACAGGTCATCCGGTGTCTGCAATTGTCATGATTTGCATTAAGAGCCACTTCTAGGTTCTGTTTTGATGGATTCAGGGCTAGATAATAATGGCAATTCAACTCTAAATTCTAAACCTCGGTCAAATTTGACATCTTCTTTGCATGACTGCATAAGCTAGAAGTTATCAATCTCACCGTATTTCCATCTGGCAGCTCACGAACTGCTACATCAATGCTCCGTGCAGTCTCTTGCATCTGAAATTAGGAATGGAGTGAGGTTGGCAAACTCCAGATGGGACAATCCAAAATTAGCCAGAAGCATGATTTTGCAGGTTCAAGCTCTGCAGGAACTAAGTTGGTGAATGAAGGGAAGTTCATGCAGCTCCCACCAGCATGGTGCTTACTCTCTCCGTTTTTTCGGATAGGCAATGAGTTGCCCCATCCACGTACAGGCTCGAATCGAGCTGCACTCCGATGAAGTACTGCAACTCTCCCTCAAATCAAGTATTAGTACCACCTGTTAGAAATCACCTTAAAGTCTCAAACACTCACAATTCAACTCAGTAAGTTTACCGTTAGGAGGACGACAGAACTACCTTCTGATCGCGCATAGCCTGCAGATGGAAGAGGTTCCAAAACGGTTTTCCTGCAATTGCCACCAGTTATCAGTCATGCATGAATGTGATCAGTTTTTACTGTGATAGCAAAGCACTGGGAATGGTTTTGCATGTTATTGTGTGACGCAGAGGAGATGACTACTAGACGCAGACGTTTGGATAGTCTGAGTTATTTACCGCTCTTTGTGTAGTTCAGCAATTGCACTGTGATGTCTC